CCTTCTTGATCTCCTTCTGTGAGGCAGTGCGGGAGACGCCCAGGACTTCATACAAGTCCTGCTTGTTTGCTAGTCTGCTGCTGGAGTGGAAAGAGCAGCAGCTAATCCCATGGGGACATCTCACCCCTGCAGAGGAAGAGGATAACATGGTGACATTAGAGGTGCAGATTTATTTTTTTTTACAAATATCTCTGAGGAGTTTTCTAAATGTGTGTGAACCACTATGTGTGTGTGTGTGTATAATCAGACTTCAAAACTGAACATAAACGCAGTAATTCATTTTTTTAATTTTAAGTTTACATCTAAGAGGAGAACTAGTACAGTGTATAACTGTATAGTTTATTTTGCTACAGCTAAAATTAATACTTCTAATTGAATATTTTTTGTACATGTAGTCCTAAGTTGTAAAGTTGCTAAGTAATTATTTAATTATTGAAACTTTTGACCATTAATTTCCTTTGACTGAGTATATTTGGTAGTCACTGCAGCTATCATTATATATTTGTTTGTTAAATTAGACACAGCCTTCTTGACTTACTGATCACTTTGTAGGAACATCTGTTTATTCATGAAACGTGTGAAGTGTGTGAAATGTGTTCAAATACAGGTCACCAGTTAATGTCCAGATTAAAGAACGTAGACAAGATGTTAAGTTAAATGAGAAGAATATCTGCAAGTGTTGCTACTAAGCATGCGCATCCGACCATCTTCTAACAGGAGCAACCAGCATGACAGCATACCACGTGACAAAGCAAAGGCTCCGTTTAACAACACAGTGAGATCAGTGGTCAGCAGATCTGGAACCAGCCCAGAGATGTCATTAAACACAGGATCTGCAGCCTGAAGGTGCTGCTGATAAATACACAGACAATATCCTGTCATTATGTCAACACAGAGGAATCCCTAAGAGAGAAGTTCAAACTTTTGTCGAGTTCATCCAATGATAAAGTGAAGTTGCTACCTGGTATTAGTAACGTTGTCCTGGGAGTATCTAGTCCTGGTGAAGCACATTTAAAAATGAACAGTCACCATTTATTCTAAAGAGGGGGATGGAGAACTAAGTGATGCTGCCATACAGGCGGACTGATCCGTAGGAAGGTGTGTATGGGTGCAGAGTGTCACTGGTGCATTCACACTGCACTGACTGCTACTGGTTGCCTCATTCTCACAGGAGGCTAACGAACTGTGCAGAACTACGGCAGCATTTCAGTGTCGCTCACTCTCTCAGCATCACAAAGCTCTGTTAACTGGACCTTCAGACAGGCTGCTGGATATCGCATTTAGAATACGTGCTGATATAAAACAGGTTTTGCGACACTTAGCTAACTTATCCCACCTGTCAGTTCTCTCAATGTCACGGCATTTCCGCGTGTCCAAGAGCTCAGGCTAACCGCTGTCCCTGCCCGGTGTGTCTGTGATATGGTCGCTGGACAAACTCCTCCATTCCCGGATGAAATAATGAGAAAACGGCCGCTACGATATCCAGAAGAAACTGATGCTGTTAACCAGCGTGTAGTCAGCCGGGCAGCGGAGGACGCCATTTTCGCGTCACTACTGGCTTCTTCTTCTTCTCTGGTGTTTAACGGCAGCTCACATCCATCTGTGTTGTATTACTGCCTCCTTCACGTCCTGCGTGAAATTTCCAGAATTTCCAAGAAGTCACATTCTGGAGAAAAGTCCTGTGCAAAAAAGCGATCGTCTGCCAAAAAAAGCAGTCTCCTATGTTTCTGCGTATTTTTATTGTGTAATGGCTTTGCTTATATTGGTGAATAGAGTGCTGTGAGTATGATTTATAGGTTAGATATATATTAAATAAAGAATATACCTGTTTTTGCAAGTCTGCATTTTTGTACCAACATGATAACAAATCATTTTTTTCGGCCACTTAAAATATCTTTATAGAACGGTGATGTTTTTGATGGTGCCTTGGCCATATCTCTCAAAAAAGACTTTTTTTTTATATTGTCAATGAGACTTTTTAGCTGAATAAATAAAGGACAGGGATGTTGTTTGTGGCTCAAAATGACTTGCTGTCATTTGTGAACGAAATTTTCATCATTTTTAGCCAGATAGTCACTGAAAGAAGCTAAATAACATTTGTCTCTCTTGTACTGAAGTTTCAAATGTTCCTTATTCAATTATATAATTTATAGCATTTTTAAAATAATCCACACTGAATACAGGTATCTGTAAGTTGTGGTGACAGTACTTCCTCTTCTATCTAGCACTACTGAAGATGAGCAAGCATAACGAGAGTAACACTCTTTTACTCCTAAGATTTTTTAAGGCAGGTAACTTCAAATACAATGTTTCTATCTAACACCAGCAAACACACAATCTGTTTGTGTTCAGTCTGTTGCTGACTGTGTTTGCTAGTCGATGTAAGGTATTTCCCAGAGAGAGAAAAGAGTATGACAACTACACTCAGAGATGGAGAAAGATATAAGAAAGACAGAAGAGGAGTGGAAGAAGAGAGATAACATTTAAAGGTACGGACTTATCAGTGATGCTTGATAAACTGCGGATTTAAAGATTGCATGGCATGTCATCATCATGTATTTTCATATTGTGAAACATGCTGCAAAACAAACTAAGGTATACCTACTTTGTTT